CTGTTACGTTAGTGGATGTGGGTCGATAAACAGGAGGCTTCCAGACAATGGTCTACAGCCAAGAGGTCTTACCATCTCAACATCTGGAAGTTTCTGGCAGTATGTGATTTGGATCACTTTCTTCCTCTTGTAAGGACTTGACTTGTCATGATTGATTTTGAAAATTCTACGGTGGTGGCTTATATCAATCACCAAGGGGGCACCTGTTCTCATTCCTTTTGAGGTTGAATCTTGTATCTCCTTTTTAGGGCCCATACACTTGGGATACATCTCCTTGTATGTCATGTACCAGGTGCTTTCAACCTCGTGGTCTTTTGATCATCAGGTTTTCCAGTGGCTATGTTCCCAATGAAGTACTCTTAAGCTGGTTACATTTTCCACTTTCCTCAATACCTAGTTCCCTTTTTTTGGCCTTCAGTTCCTCATCCACATGCCCTAGCTGACAATATGCTCTGCTAGATTTGGACTAAATGGTATCTGTATGTTTATCCTTTTATCTGACTTCTTCCCGGGAGATTTCAATCATTCATGCCACTCTGTGTCAAGTCCTTCTGATTGCTCCTTACTGGCCAACACAAGCATGGCTTTCTTGTCTACTTCAGCTCCAAGCTGCCTCTTCCTCTCACTCCATCCCTTCTATGTCAAACTCTATCACCTGTAATTCATCCCACTCTTCCTACCTTCTGTCTTCATGTCTGACTTTTATCAGGTATTTGGCAAGGATATCCAGATTGTCTCAGTGGGTCACTTGCTGTTTAGCACATTTCCAATTGCCCCTCCTCAGTGGCAGTCTGTCATTGTAAATGGAACATCTTCTGCTGGTGGTCTTCATGTCTAGGTTTTCATTGTTGAAGTGGGATGTCCTATAAGATTTCTAGTAGGTTTTTCCTCAGGATATATTTGCTTCATTAATATGCCAGTTCTGGACTGTACTAACCAATGGAAGTGCATGGGTAAAGCAGAAGGGGATAACTGCCCATCCCTGCTGTCCTTTTGATTGAGTAAATCAGGAGCTGCCTGCTTTTCAAAATAAGTTTTTCATTGCACCGTTTCTGGTGTTGGTGTTCTTGCAGACTTTCCACCATGTTTTATCCCCCTTATTCTCTTAGCGGAATATGGGAGTCCTTGCTGCTTTCCAGTTCTGAGCTGCTGGGGTGATGGACTATGGAGGTATCCTCCTCAATGTGATCATACAATAATAAACAAAAACTAAAAAAATAAATTCAGTAGAGAGTAGGATGGTGGTGTTCTGGTGGAATATGGTCCTCCAGGCATGTGCTCCATTTCTGTACAGAGCTTTGAGGGTTGTGGCGTTCCCCTTCCGTGCGATGTGACCCGGAAGTTTTCAATGCGCTCCAATTCTATATGGTCCTGTCCAAGGGAATGATGTTGCACATGACTACTAATAAATATGCTCCACCTCTGTGTGGTGGGTCCTGGAGGTTGATGTTGCACCTGGCTTCTATGTGGTTCTGTTAGGAGGGTGAGGTTGCTTGTAATTTATGGATGAATTCCACTTTCATGAGGTGGGACCTGGAGAGTACTATGACCTTCCAACCTTTGTGCAATCCTATCAGGATAATGATGTTGGTTTAGAGTTGATCTGTCACTTTTCAGTTTACCCCTTTGATTAGGAATCCTCATCCTACCATAACATGGATGTTGGTTCCTGGGTACTGCTTTTGGACTTATAGTAAGATCAATCAACATAAGTCCTCACACATGTGTTGATTGTGTTTCCTCTTCCTCAATCAATTTGCCTCATGATCACCAACTCTGTGTGATAGGTCCCAGAAGTTGATGTTGCACCTGGCTTCTGTGCAGTTCTGTCAGGAGGGTGAGATTGTTTATGATTTATGGATGCAATCCACTTCCGTGAGATGGAACTTGGAGACTGCTATGGTGTTCGAACCTTTGTGCAGTCCTATAATGTAACATGGGACCTATTGGTCCATCTTGGCTGTTCCATCCTCTAAAATAAACTAGAATAATTTTTCTTTTAATCTTAAAGTCAGCCCTTATCATTCATATACTTATCAAGCTTTTTCTTAAACTCACTTAACTTTACTGCCTTTACAACATCTGAAGCAACCCATACCAAAGGCCAACCACCCTGTTAGAAAAATGAAACTGTTTTAGCTGAAGATAACTTCTTCCTTGCCAAAATTTGTGTCCCCTAGTCTTACTATTCTCACTGTTAAATATGAAA